ATTTAATAATCAATTTACAATGAATTTATACCCGTGTTGTACATTATGCTGTACGCCATGGATGAGCGATTTGTAAAAACGAAGATTGATTATTCAGCTGCAGGCGCCATCTTCTGGCGAGATGCGGGAATTCATTCGGCGCGTGACTCTCACGTTGCATTATGGGCATTCTCTAGCCATTGAGCGTTTTTGCAGTGCATTGTGGGATTGAATGAGTGCACTCGAGAACGCCCACTATGGTTTCGGACACCACTAAAAATGGCTGTTCCCTCAAATAGTGCCCTATTTAAGGGTATAGGGGGTGATTTCGGACACAGCCCTGGTTGAAAACTCTGGCTCTAGAGGACGACAGAAACCTCTAATGACTGAGCTGTCAATAGATGACGACATTCTCCAGATAATTGGAATGAATGAAAAAAAAAAGTGACGTGACATGTGGCGACCCATACTTGGAATTAGTGCTCTGCGTTTAACCCATCCAAAGTGCACACACAAAGCAGTGAACACACACACACCGTGAACACACACCCGGAGCAGTGGGCAGCCATTTTTGCTGCGGCGCCTGGGGAGCAGTTGGGGGTTCGGTGCCTTGCTCAAGGGCACCTCAGTCGTGGTATTGAAGGTGGAAGAGAGCGCTGTACATTCACTCCCCCCACCTACAATCCCTGCCGGTACGAGACTCGAACCCGCAACCTTTGGGTTACGAGTCCAATTCTCTAACCACGACTTCCCCAGTGCTCCCAGAAGGTACAATGCTCGTGAAACCTAGAGGGATGTTCTATAAATATCTAAAGAGTAAGAATGCTTTTCCATCAAAAAAAAACATGACAAAAAAAAAACCAAGCCGTCCTTCTGTGAAGTTAATTATCCGCAATCATTCTGTAACAGATCTCTGAAATTGTACCCCACTGAAAAAAAGGAGACCATATTCTCTGCTCCTCTGTATCCGTCATGCGGTGTCAGTTCTGTGCTCTTCCATAACACATCTTACACACTCCAGTGTACTTCAGCTCACAGCACACACCACATTAACCAGCCTGGTCTCATGTTTATACGTAGGTATAAATACGTAACATTTACAAGCACAAAACGTACACTTTTGTACGTTTTTAGTCATGCTAAAACGTACAATTTAGACGTATTTCAACGTTTAAAACGTACAAATCGCTACGTATTTTTAGCTAAAAAACGTAAAAATATTTACGTATCTTTTATATCATTTAGATATTCATATCAATGCATTTTTATCATTTTATTAATAAGCGATTTCGATTTTTAGACCCCTTAACCTGCCGATCACGTTGCATTAACACACCCCTGAACCCGCTGTTAGAAGCAGGAATTCAATTACAGACCCAATGTGGAGATGGAGAAAAATCAGCGACCGGCTGACTGAGACTCTCTCGATCACTTCATACTGGGCTCAAATGAATGAATCTCATTCCTGGGGAAACTCAGAGGTGGAAAGAAGCATTAAACACTCAACTTTTTCAGCAAGATCGGGAAAAGTATGACTGGAGTGCCGCCGGTGGTTGCCGACAGGATGTCGAATGTGGATTCTGTTTCAGTTGCTGTTGGAAACTATGCCAGGCTCAAGTATCCTAAAATCTATCACGTCTGTTTTGCTGCTAGTGTAGGTCATTAACACCAGAGACCAAGGTTGGAAATAGGAAATTGAACAAGGAATGTATAGGCCTCTTGACCCGTTCACATGAAAATGCTGGTTATGGGGCATTCAGAAGGCTTCAGCTCTCTGAATATGTTGTCTGACAGCTAAATAAGGTTGTGTGCTGATCATATCACCCAAACAATTTAAGTAAAACAAGTAACAAGGTACTTTTTTCACAAAAAGCAACGTAACAAATCACTGTTTTAATGCCACGCAGTCTGCCAAATTAAGTGAACATTTTAGTGAATTGGTTCATTTACAAAAACAATTCACTGATTCGATCCAGTTCCAACATAGAATGTGTGCAATTTTAAGTTTTTAATTTTTTTTAATAAATGCTGTCTTTTGCCACTATTATTTTAAATACTACTACTAATATATTTTATAATAGTAGTAGTATTTATATGTAATTGATCTGTTTATGGCCCAACTGAGATCCTCATTTTGTACCAGATAAATAGTCTTACGTTTATGTTTATTACGCTATATTAATCATAGAATGTGTGCTATTTTTAATTTAAAAAAGAAATTTAAATAAATGCTACTAGTTGCTGTATATATCATTCATTCATTCATTTTGGGCTGATGCAGTCACAGCTGAGATCCTCACTTTGTACCAGATAAATAGTTTCAAGATTTTTATTTTTAAAAACTTTATTAGTGAAAAATAAACTTATTTCACACTCCTGAGTGTACAAATATCTTCAATCATCTGACTGATTTCATTTAGCTATTTCTTGATTTGTTTCACTTTAAATCTTTTTTTATCCTCTCTAAAATAGCTTCAATGTAGTTAGCTGGTCTTAGCTAATTAAGGGTAGCTTGACTATAGTTCAACTGTTAAATTAGGACACTTCCAAAGTCACTTCTTCAGTGCC